TTAGATATTATTAATTACCCGATTAAGAAATTTACGAAAATCACAAAAAAATACTAAAAATCAAAAAAATATTATATTTTCTAATCTATATAGTATATATTTTCTCCTAAATTAATGAAATAATAATATATAGAAAATATCTTCGATATTCTTTTAAATATTAATATTTTCGAAGATAAATCTTTATAAATTCTTGCAATAAATATAAACATATAGCTATTTCATTAATTTCTTCGAAAATTCTCATCTATTTCTTTATTAGGAGATCAAGAATTCTATATTTTGATTTTTTAAATTTTCCTATATAATATCGTATTTATCAAAAATCATAAATCTATGAAATCAATCAATTCGAGCAAAAATATCGGAACCAATTTATTCTAGTATATAATAAATAATTAAAATATTGAAATTTATTCATAATTCTTTTTTGATTTTTTGCCGATATTTTCAATTCCTTTAGGTTAATCATTTCTAGAATATATCTTATTCATTCTTATGAATTATCTTCAATGATATAGATATACCGATACGAATATTGAATCTATGTTTATTCTGATCTTTCGAAAATATATTTTTATATATAGAATATTCTATGTATTCAAGATGTTCGTTTAAGATTTCAACCTCTCTTCTTCTCGTTCTCTCTCTCTATATGTTTTCTTCTTGCTCTTGACCATGAAAAGTCATTGTCTACTCAAAGCAACAATTCTGAGGCAAAACATGATCGAACCTGTCTCGGAGAATCTTCTTTTCAGGCTTATTCTGATATAACTTGGGCATGGAGGTATCTCGAGTGAGACGAAAAGCCAAACACCGAAAAAACGGACCGCCCCAGAACTCGGCCCGTGGTGCCAGCTGAGTCTTTGAAGACGAGTTGTCCGTTGTGTCTTGGTTTTTCGCGGGTTGTGGATATCTGAGCTTTAGCTGGTTGTCCAAACGCCACGATTGCGAGACGATTTGACACGACAAGCATCGCCTTCTAGCTGGTGAAACGTCACGCTTAGCTGCATTGAAGCTGGAGCACAATGCGAAGTTAGCTGCAGTCAGGAGTCGTAATTTCCAACAGATAGATACTAAGTAGATGTCCCGAACAGGAAAGCCCCAATTCAAATCGAACAGACCCTGTACAAATTGCACCAGTCTTTACGATAGCTTCGGGAACCAGGATTTGGGGCTCCAGCACCTCTTCAAAACAATTAGATTACTCCGATTTCGGGTTCGGCTTTGGGAGCCGAGTCTGGGAATCCTGCAGTTAGGGTACAAGTTAGTGAACGAGATGCGACTGCTTCAGTGGTTTAGGGTTTTGGGTTCGTGTCGTTGCAGAGCGAGATGCGATTTAGGGCCTGGGGTGCAGCAGCCACAAGATGCTTCCTCAACAAGCTTCAAAAGTCCTGTCTATAGCCCTGCCAGATCCCAACACGCCTGTGCTCTACAAGGGTCAACGCAGCTAGACCTCGTTGACTCAAAGCTCTGCCTTGTGAGTCGGTGGAGGATCCGGTAAGCCAGCCTGGGAGGGTGAGCCGCTGCGCACGTCAGTTCTACCTACCTAGCTATCTATCCATCTATCTAATTATCTATCTATCTACCTATATCTATACCTATATCTATGTCTATACCTATGCCTATATCTATACCTATATGTATATCTACAACTACAACTATATCTTTTTCTATATCTATATATATGTAGCTACCCAAGTCATCTATCAACCTATCCGTCTATCTGCCCATGCATACAGTACAGTTCGGCTTTTCAATGCTGTCAGTGGCGACACACAGGCATACATGCAAAAAAGCAAACAAACATACATACATACATACATACCTACATGCATAAAACACATACGTACATTAAATATATTAATACATGCGTGCATTAAATACCTACGTACATATATAAATACGTACCTACATACATACATACATGCATGCATACATACATACGTACATACATACGCAGTTCCACAGTTAACAATAAGAACGACTGAAGCACAAAACCTGTATGACACTGGAGTATGTACACACATTAGAGCAATACCTTAACTGTTTGCTTCGTGTACATGCGTATATGCACACGCACATACTTCTATATACACGTTATAACTATATGTTTTTAACATTTATATGTGGATATGTATATATCTATATATATATATAGCAAAAGAGAGAGCGAGAACTATATACATATGTGTATACATATTATATATATATATAGATAGACAGATAGATAGATAGATAGATAGATAGACAGATATATGTATGTGATATAGGTACAGCATGCCGTACATGTATCTCTTTGTTTGCGGGCTCATGCATGCAAACGCAGACTTACATGAGCCAAGTATACAGTATATGTACACATAGACATACATGTGTGCATACATAAAACAGACAGACAGATAGATAGGCAGATGCACTGACATCTGCCTGTACACATATGTGCGTATATAGATGTAGATCTGGAGTGTGTGTCGCTGTAGAAATAAATAAATATAGTTGTATAAATATACACATTTATACATATTATAATATGTATACACATGTATATGCATGCACGCACACCTGTGCGTACTTGGGCCAACACGTAACCAATTTCATGACTCTGATGAGTCTATGTGTGTGGGGACTCCGAAGCCCCAGGAGCTCAATGCTGCTCAATTCTAGGACACCTGTGCATAACTCTCAACATGAACCCACTAACGCAGAGTGCCCTCCACGCCTCCCAACCTAACCTCCGGAACAAGGAAGCGAAAGCCTGCACTGGTGTATTGTTGTTTTGCGTGCTGGGGAGTACCCAGAGCGCCCACTGCGAATGTCTCAGCTGAGGAGTGTAACTTTGAACAGGATGAAAAACCGTTAATGTGAGGATGTTTCGGGTGCATGTTCTACCGCATTAAAGGGTACTGGCGCAGTGGCCTCTGGTAGTATTCGGTGCATTTGTGGAAAGGTCGCACCTGGGCATCCTCAGCTTCTGCTTCCACTTGGGACATGCCAACCTCAGACGGATATGAGGCAGAACCATGGTTTAGGGTTGAGAGCTGAGTTTTCGGAGATTCTTGGTTGGCCTGGGGGGAGACATTGTCTGGATGAGGGCAGCAACATGCAGTGATAAGTTCAGACCACCGAAACATGCAGAAATCTTTGTGGCTTAGGATTGTCGGCACTGGAGTTTCATGCTTCGGGTGGAACATGTTCGCTGCATCTTCGAGTCAGTCTGGGGGGGATGGTGGGAGCTTACCTTTCCGGATTCAGCGATGCATCGCAAAAGGTGTCAGGTTCGTTCAAAAAAGCTTGATCCCCAGACAAGAAAACTCGCTCCAAACCCTTACTGAATAACTTAAGCTGGCAGTGCAGGGACTCTGCAAAAACCTCTGTGGCCGTAAGTGCAATCTCCTGAGCCGCAACTCTAAAATCACTAGTGACTCTAGTGTTTAGGGTTCAGGTTTGGGCGTAGAGATTCCGAAGATCATAGAACCTCGCAGACCTTTACTCCTAAGCCTTCAGAGCCCAGAAGTCGCAGGCGCGGAAATTCTGAATCCAAAAGAATCTCCATCCATGGTCCCGGACCATGCCAGCCACTCTTCCCCGGCAAACGGGACACTGGAACGACCTGACGGGATAAGACGAAGTTGAGCGAGGGACGTCGGGGTGCTGCTGCCCTAAATCTTGCCAACTGCCGTACATGTAAAGCAGACATGATTTGGGGTTCGCCGTTGTTTGCCACTTCGAAAATTGCGGGGCCTTCGTTGCTCCTGTGTCAACTGCTATTTCGTGGAGTGTTCACTGGACTAGTCACTGTGGCAAAGCTGCTCCTCGGAGCTCCTCGGGGGACTTCGCAAGCAGGCCGCGGTGGGAAGTGCGCGTAGGCGTAGCCCTACGACCCACCGTGCTCAGCCCCTCTAGCTGCTAGCAGTAAGCTAAGTACTGAAGTACTGCTACTAGGTCTCGAGAAGATCGCGGTGGATCGGCTACTGAAAGCAAAAAAGATAAAGCCTTCTTCTGGAACACGTTCACACTGGATTTCGTGATGCTTGCAATGGGTAGGGCAGTCCGGTTTCTTCTGTTGCGGCAAGATATGTCTGTAAAGCTGTCTCAAATCACCCAGCTTCGGTCGCACTACCAGAATACTGTCCTTCTGCTCGGCTTTGCATTTCATAGAAGCATCGCACACATGTAAAATAATGTTCATCGAACAGAGTGCACAAGCCATGCAAGCGAGTCCCGTGCTTGCTGGTAAATGCAATCGTGTCTTCGTGGTTACAGCTGGTACACAGCTTCTTCCGGCAGGAACCGCTTGTGTAGGATATGCTCATGACGGAAACCAAAGACGACGACTTCGATCATGAGCCGCCCCCAATGTACCTCTAAGCTCCTCTAAAGCACTGGCACCCGTATGACCAAACACCCAAAGCAAAGCCAAAAGCAAAATACACAGTGAACTCTGCGAACTTCCTTCGGCCCTCTAACCCCCCGGAGCTGACCCAGAGGTCCCCGCCATGTGGACGAGGTGATCTTTGCACAGCTGGAGCACAGGCAGACGTGCCGACAGTGGAGGATGGCGACCTAGGGCAAAAGGTGACTGAAAGTTGTCGAACCACTTTTGAGTGGACCGTCATCCAAGGACCCTTACAGCCTGCGTGCAATGGTCGGATCACCCTCGGTTTTTGCCATGGATCTTCCTATCCATCAAACAGATTTAGCACATTTTCAATCTGAAGCTGACAGTGTGAGCATCTGAAGAAAGTCATCTTGAACGACACAACCAGCTTTCCTCTGTCCCTCAGAACTTCTAGGACTTGCTAGCAATGCAAGCAAGCCGAAAATTTCCTCAATGAAGCCCCTGAGCTCCTCAAATCCCGAAAGATTTGCGGCAAATCTTTTCGCAATAAGCTAGTAAGGTCTATAGTAACAGCGCCCAAAACTTGAACCCCAGATAGCCCTAAATCCCAAATGGGCCTTAGGACCCCAAAACTTGAACCCCAAATGGCCCTAATTCCCAAATGGGCCTCAGGACCCCCCCCCCCCCCGCTGTTCGCCTCCTTGGGCTTCTCCAGGCAAATTACACATTCGCCACCCTCGAAGGAGCCCCCAAGCTTCCTGGCTTTCGAAGGCAAACAGAGGGGCTGTGAAATCCTGTTTCGGTTTAGGGTTTAGGGTTCAGGGTTTAGCATTTTTATGCGTTGAGCGCTGAAGATTCGTGAGGCTTGCTTTGAAGGGTTTCGACATGTTGAAAGCTTGCACAACGAAAAGAGTGAGGAGGTACTGGCAGCGTGAGTCCATATCGCAAGCTTCTGCTTCAGAGGGAGGACAAGGATGACTCAAGCAAGCTACAGGCCAATAGAGTTTACAGCACCCAGCGAGTGCGCTGCAAAGAGATCCTCCATCAGATCAGGAGAACGAGGGCGAGAGATCGCACAGAGGCTTTTGACAATGAGTTCGACAACATGAAGCAGGGCTCTTGGTTGTATGAACTCTGCAAGAACCAGTCAACGACTTTGGGATCCTTCTTCTGTACCTAAAGCGTGCATGTTGGCTGGCAATGTAAGACGGAGCTCATGGAACCTTGCTAGAATTAAATTCGTTTCTGCTGCTTGCAAGTCTTAGTAGTCACTGAACCTCAACGTACCTTGGACTGTGAAGAGCGGTCAACTGGCCTGGGATTAGGCATAGTGCCGTACAGCGGTGTCAGCGCACGCACCACATTCCTTAGGCGGGTCTGTCACAACGGGGGTCGTTACCCTAAATCCCAGTGTGCCAGTCGTTGCAGCATACATACTTGTGAGACAGAGCCTCGAAATCCCGATGCAGTCCCTGGACCCCTCATGTAGTTGGCAGCTTCCTCTCCCAAGACCCAGCACTCACGGAGAACCTCGTTCTTGGAGAATGCAGGGTCGTCAAGCTAATTAGTGCTACTCGCAGAACAAGAGCAAGCCAATTCAAAGGAAGCAAGTATGAACAACTGGTCAGGAATAGTACTGAATCTGACGTTCAACTACCATGGATCCGGCCTCTGACAACTGCTTTTCGGAACGGTGCAAGGAACCACCAAGAGCAGAAGCAACGACGGCAACAACTGTAAGAGCAATGGGTATGCCAGCCACCCTTAGCTACGATAACACCATCCACGAGGGATCCCAGCAGCAGCAGCAGAAGCAGCAGCAGCAGCAGCAGCAGCAGCAACAGCAGCAGCAACAGCAGCAGCAGCAGCAACCCCACCAACACGTTACACAACATAGCCTGTGATATAGGTAACAAGTACGTGATGAAGAATATCATTAACATTTACTAACATTAATACCCTTGCAAGACAGCAATGTGATATCTCACGACCCCCGGCTATCTCTGCTCTGATATTGAACGCTTGTGCCGGAATGCTGGCTAAAGGGCTGCACACTCCAGAATGAAGTATGGGACTGCTGTTGTTTCTTTGAAGGGAACTGCGCTGAGTCCCAGTCTAAACCAACAAAATACCTGCCTGGACTGTTCCAGGAGCCTTTCGACGGAATCGACAACAACGAGCTACGAGTACAGCTTTGGGTGGATCCCAAGATCAAAGTGTCAGGCGCGCTGCCTCCGACGGCTACTGCTAAGCAAAGTTGTCCATGCATCTGATCCAACACGAATAATTCACCTCCTGCTTTTGACGAAGCGGCGCGCACTCCACCAGCTGCGTGTGCACATGAACCTGCCAAGCACTCGACACGACAAAAAAGATGCGAACATGGGATGCGTGGAAGCGGAAAAACAGCGCAAAGTCTGACACAAGGAAACGCGGAACAGTCTCTGTCGTGTCTGCCTGCCCATGCCCAGCATCATCGAACGTCAGCTCTAAGCAACTCCGCTGTGCCACCACAGCCTGCACCGACTTCAGGGGTGTAGGGCACAGTGTGTAGATGCAGAAATGTATCAAATGTAACATCATGAAATGACATGAAATGTCTTGCCGTGCCCTGCCATGCCACGTTTGCTCGGTTTCTTTCTTCCTTCTGGGTGAGTGGAGTCGGCTATGTAGCTGGGGCCCCCGTGCCCTTGGGATTTGAGTGATTAGAGGGGCAGTCGGTCCCAGTAATGGGCTCTGCCTCAGCTTTCTTGAACTCACATGATGTTTGCGAATGACTGGCTGAATGACATGGAATGAGTTAATGCAGAATTTCTGGCTGGTCAAGCGGTAGAAGACACAAATTTTCCAAGCGTGTGTAAGTTCAGGAAGAGAACAGATTCGGAGGTAGGTTTTGGAAGGGGGCTTGGCGATTTACCTATCTATCTACCTACCAACCGATCTATCTGTCCATCTAACTATCTAACTGTCTATCGAAGCATCTATCTATCTGTCTATCTACCTTGAACCTTTTGTCGCACCTATCGGTGCTGGTGCGCATATGCACTTGGATCTCAACGGCCAGGAGCTCCCGTCCAACAGCCTGCTGTCCGTATCGATCCGGAGCACGCGCTGAGCCGCGGACTTTTAGGTCGCCATGCTCTGCGCGGAGATCGAGCATCACATGAAACTTGTCTTCCTGCGCGAGAAGTGTTCTGACGGCGGTCTTGCACAGCTGTGTGTCGGAGTTACTCAGAAGGTCCGTGTTCATGCAACGGGCAGCTATACTGGGCAAAACGGTTCGGAAGAGTCTTCGAGTCGTGCCTTGACATCGAAGTTGTCCGACAACTGGCTGCGTAGGTCGCCACCAGTGTAGAGGTGGAGTCGCCTTGATGCATTCAGTCCAACACCTCAACTGACCCCACTCCATTCCATCAATGTATTGGCCTATGTACCTAGCCATCACTAGTTATCGACAATCATGTTTGCTGATACTTGCACCGACCTCAAAAAAAAGGCCAAGGGCTTTGAGCGCTTCGGGGACGCCATCAGCCATCATTCATACATACATACATACATACATACATGCAAACACATTAACTGTATTCGCATGCAGTGAAGTGCCGGGCAGTCGGCGTTTTTTCGGGTTAGGGCCGGCTAGGAGCGGCTAGGGTATGCCATGTCCTCCAGAAGTCAAGTAGAAACCCTCGGGCACTCTATGCCTTTCCGACTGTTGCTTCAAACACAAACCCGCAGCCCCAACAACTTAGTTCCTCAACCCGAACCCTCTACCCACACCCTAAACCCTAACCTTAAACCCTAAACCCTATCGGATGTAAAAGCTGGCACTACCATCGATCTTGGTCTCAAGCATCGGCTGCTTCAGGGCAGCCTGCGCACATCTCTAAAGGAATTCTGTTGGGCAAGTGCTCAGGCTTCCATGTTACAGGGTCTAGGGCTCAGGAATACTCGCGGGCCCTGCGGAATCCATGACCGGATCTAGATTTCGTGCATGAGCACCGTAGATAGAGTATACCTCAGCCCAAACTCTACAGCCTCACCACCTGGAGAACAGACCGGAGCAATCGTGGCAGGACGAGGCAGGAGAAGCCCTCAAAACCCTCGATATCCCGGAATCCTTGCACAGCCGACAAACCGGAAGTAACGACAAACAGCCTTTCCTTAGTTAGGGTTCGCAGCAGTCTACAAAGTTCAACTGGGCTTGAACCGTGACCCCGCCATCCATCCTGATCAAAACTAGCCCTTGAGCCCTAGACCATGCCTAGATCGCAACACCCAGGATACTCGTGCCTGGAACGGTGCCTCCGAAGAGCCTTAGTAGGCAGGAGGAGATGCGACAGCGGCGGCAGATTTAGTTTCAGGCCTTCGGGTCTGGAGTCTTAGATCATGCAGCTTTTGTTTTGAGCTTTGCCCTCCTTTGTTCTTATTCGTCGGGACAAGATTAGGCTTGTTAGCTGCAACGACATCGTAAACCCGTTCAGCCAGAAGCGCGTGCAGAAGCTACTTCTCGTGTCTAGCCATTGCGGTAGGGGGCCGTTGCAGGATTGAGGCATAGCCCTCCCGAAGGCAGCTGCTTGTTTTGGGCAAAGAAGTGTAGTCGGAAGTCTAAGGAGGATAGCCAAGCTTCAAGGTTTAATTCAAGATCAGATGTACCGCAAGCACAAAGAGAAATGTGTGCAACGAAGAGAGGCGACTGGCTGGAGGTAGCCAGATGGGTCTAGTGGTTCACTTTGCGTAGTTGCTCTGTCAAGGGTCACTTTGAGGGCCCTAGAAGCGTTTAGATGTGGATACGTGTTCTCGAATCTTGTGCTTGCATTGTGAGGCCAAGCGAAAACCCGGAGCCGTAACCAATACCCCAGCGTGACACGCGACACAAATATGGCCATGATGCCGATTCTACTCAAGATCGAGGTTGGTGCTTTTCACAGGCTTTTGGAGACCAAGCAGATGAGGTTCAAAACGTCAAGGCTGAACTAACGAGAACCCCACGTCGCTGTACTTGCGTTGCAACTCAGAGGTCCGGCGTCGACTCTAGACTGAAAAGCGGTCTGGGGGAGGGACTTCGAGCACTGGAGGGCGCCGATAGAGTCATGTTCGCGCCAGCCTGCTTGGAAACTTGACAGGGTTACTGCAGAAACGTGGAATGTCCTGTGCATGGTTATGGTCATCTCGGACGTCTGAATGCAGCGCATGAAGCCACACATGAGTATCACATTAGTGCTGTGCTGGCAGCACGAACGAACTGGGGCCGTGACCTCCAAGCCGCCCACGGCCTCGAGACAAGACGCAGCAGCGGAGTATGAGCTGCTACCGTTGAGACCACTACTTCTGGCTGCTGTGACAGCCGAAGTCTAGGGCATGCAAATGTATGTCATTCCAGCATCTCAGCAAAAACTCTTACACGTCAACAGAGATCGCCACTCACTGACATTGGTGGTGACGACTACATCGACCCGATTTCATCAAGCCAATGCTATGGCCACGATTGGCCATTCTACCACCCACAAACTGTGCCTCCCTCAACCTTAAGCCCTAAAAGCCGTGTCTCCTGCTCGAAGGAAAGTCAAACCTGACACCTTCTTGGTCTTCGGCCTCAATCTCTAGCCAGTAAATGCTGCAAGATGCTCCCCACACAATATTGAAAGTTGAAAACCTCCACGCCCCTCTGTCCTGCTCCAGTGAGTACATGCTAACCTGTAGTCAGCTCCTATGATGTTTTTCAAGTTGTGTGACTAACACAGTCTCAAGAAACTGGCCAGCGGAGTCAGTCAGCTTTAGCGAGTCTAAGTACTTCAGGCTATACTACTTTAGGCAGCCACTTTACGAATGAGTCTTGTGCTCTGATGGATACATGTGTGTGCATACAGACAGGCAGTCAGACAGACATACTATATATGTAGTACATACATACATCTTACCAGCACAGGTTCGACATGCACTGTGTACAGTATCCACTACTGAGCGGTGCCGAATAAAACATACCTTTTGTCTCATACACGATATCCTTTGGCAAATGATGGGATATCTGTAATGGGATATGTGCATTATATGTGGAGAGGCAGGAAGACAAACAGGCAGGTACGGGATCATGAAATTCTGGCGATTCAAGTGCCTCTCGAGGCTTGCACACACAGACACACAGAGAGACAGGATATGCAAACGGTCTGACCAGGTAGAAAGAAAAGACGAAACACACAGCGAGAGAGAGAACGAGAGAGCGAGATGCATACATATATATATATATGCAGGTATGAAACCGGGTCCCGGGTAACCCCCTCGCTCTCAGGGCTGT